ACATCCCCCTATCTCCTTCTCCTAAATCGACTCAATACTTCCGCGGTCGCACCGTTCCCTGGACGCGGCCCGGGAGGCCTTGCAGACGCAGGAAGCCTTCGGCGTCGGTCTGGTCGTAGCTGCCGCCCCCTTCCATGCTCGCCACCGCCGCGTCGTAGAGGCTCTGTGGGCTGGTGCGGCCGTGGACTTCGATCGTTCCTTTGTAGAGGCCGAGCTTGATCTCGCCCGTCACCGGCTTCTGCGCTTCCCTGATGAAGGCGAGCAGCGCGTCCATCTTCGCCGTGTACCAGAAGCCGTAATAGACATCGCGCGCCACTTCGGGGGCGATCCGGTCACGCAGGTTCACCAAGTCGCGGTCAAGCGTCAACTGCTCGAGCTGCAAGTGTGCCGCGTAGAGAACGGTCATGCCCGGCGCCTCGTAGACGCCCCGGCTTTTCATGCCGACGAAGCGGTTCTCGACGATGTCGATCCGCCCGACGCCGTTACGCCCGGCGATCGTGTTCAACTCTTGCACCACCTCTAGTGCCGACAGCTTCTTGCCGTTGACGCTCACCGGCACACCCGACTCGAAGCCGACCGACACCTCTTCAACCTTGTCCGGCGCCTCTTGCGGCGAGACGGTCATGCCGAAGTCGGGGACGCTCACGCCGCAGTTATCAACCTCTTCGAGCTCGCCCGCCTCGTAGCTGATGTGCAGGCAGTTCTCGTCCGAGCTGTACGGCTTCGAGGTCGACGCCTTCACCGGGATGTTCTTCTCGGCGCAGTAGGCGATCATCTCGGTGCGGCCCGGGAACAAATCGCGGAACTCCTTCATCCGCCACGGCGCGATGATCTTCACCGTCGGTTCGAGCGCCTCGGCCGCCAACTGGAAGCGGCACTGGTCGTTCCCCTTGCCGGTCGCGCCGTGAGCAAACGCCTCGGCGCCAACCTCACGCGCCACTTGCAGACACGCCTTGGCGATGATCGGCCGGGCGATCGACGTGCCGAGCAGGTAGATCCCCTCGTACTTCGCTTGGTACTGGAGGACCGGGAAGGCAAAGTCGCGGATCATCTCCTCCTGCACGTCCACAATCCGCGCGCTCTTGGCGCCGCAGTCGTGAGCCTTCTTCAGAATCGCCTGGCGGTCTTCGCACGGCTGCCCGACATCGACATAGACGCAGTGGCAGTCGTACCCCTGGTCCTGAAGCCAACCAAGGATAACGGAGGTGTCGAGGCCGCCGGAATAAGCGAGGACGCAGCTGGGCATGATGGAGGGACGGACGTGGAGGGAGGGACGCGGGGACAGGGGCAAGGGACGGCGGAAAGCCGCCAAAAACGACCCCTCAGCGTAAGCCGGCGAGGGCGGCGGGGGAAGCTACCCGGGGAGGACGCGAAACCAGCCGACAACGTTCGCGCGGCAAACCGGCGAGCCGGGAGCGTGAGCGACCGGAGTGCGCCACGATATGCTCACCATCACGAAAGTCCTCCGTCGTTCCCTCCGGTCGCTCACGCTCCCGG